TCCTCGGGGAGGCAGTGCTAATTTAATTGGGAGGCCCCCCTTCTTTGTTCGATGTCCTCCCAAGATGGCCCCAAGATGGACCCCAAGGCCACCAAGGGTGCCCCCAGAGGAACCCAAGAGGCCCCCAAAGCCCCGAGGAGCCCCCCAAAAGTTCCCCATGAGGCCCCCAAGAGACCCCCGGGACGCCACAAAAGGCTCCCCGGAAGCACCCAAAACGCTCCAAGAGGCCCTCGGGCGGGACCGCCCAGAGGGCCCCGAAGACGCCCCAAGAGGACTCCGAGAAGCTCTCAAGAGAAATACGAAGAGACTCCGAGAAGCATCCAAGAGGCCTCTGTCCTTTTTCCTCGCCATCCTCCTTCTCCTCCTCCTCCTCCTCCTCCTCCTCCTCTTCCTCCTCTTCCTCCTCCTCCTCCTCCTCCTCCTCCTCCTCCTCCTCCTCCTCTTCCTCCAGCATCCTCCTCCTCCTCCCCTCCTCGCCTCCTCCTCCTACTCCTCCTCCTCCTCCTCCTCCTCCTCCCTCCTCCCTCCTCCCTCCTCCTCCTCCTCCTCCTCCTCCCCTCCTCCTCCTCCTCCTCCTCCTCATCATCCTCATCAATCATCATCATCATCATCATCATCATCATCATCATCATCAGCATCATCATCATCATCCTCATCCTCATCCTCATCCTCATCCTCATCCTCATCCTCATCCTCTCCTCATCCCTCCATCCTCATACTACATCCTCATCATCATCATCATCATATCATCATCATCATCATCCACCACCATCATGCATCCAGCATCATCATCTCATCATCATCATCACCATCATCATCACCATCATCATCTCATCATCATCATACATCATCATCATCAGCATCATCATCATCATCATCTTCCGGTCTCAGCACCCCTATCATCATCATAATCAGCAGCAGCATGTTCAGCATCATCAGCACCACCATCACCCTCATCATCATCAGCAATCAGCATCATCGCATCAGATCAGCACATCATCATCATCAGCATCATCATCATCATCATCATCATCATCATCATCATCATCATCATCATCATCATCATCATCATCATCGTCAACACCGTCACCTGCATCGTCAGCATCATCGTCATCAGCATCGTCATCATCATCAGCATCAGCATCATCGTCATCAGCAGCAGCATCAGCATCGGCATCGTCATCATCATCATCATCATCATCAGCATCATCATCATTATCATCACTGGTATCATCAGCATAAGCAGCATCATCATCACCATCATCATCATCATCATCATCATCGTCATCATCATCGTCATCATCACCATCACCATCACCATCACCATCATCATCATCATCATCATCATCATCATCATCATCATCATCATCATCATCATCATCATCTATTCCTCCTCCTCCCTTCTCCCTCCTCCCTACTCCCCCTCCCCCTCCTCCTCATACTCATTCTCCTCCTTCTCCTAGTCCGCCTCCTCCTGCTCCTCCTCCGATTCCTCCTCCGAGTCTCCCTCCATCCTCCCACTCTTGGGGTATGACGGCTTCTCGAGCCCTCAATCCTGAATCCCCTGCTTGCTCCTCCACAACCCTGACCAGGGCCACTCGCCTGGGCATCGTTCCTGGATTGGTTGGTGGGGCTACGCGAAGCGTCTACAATAATTAAATCCGCCGACCCCCGCTTGCTGGAGGTGAGAAGGCGTGTGAGATGATTGGCTGTCACCCCTCCACCTTTCCCACTTCCCTAGGGTCCGAAGTCCCATTAGAGGAGGGTGGGTACGAGCTCGTCCACGAACCAACCGGGGCCCTTGGAGCCCAAAAATCAACCATCCATGGCCGCCAAGATGCCCACGAAGCTCTCCGAAACGGCTCCAGAAGGGCTGTCCAACGCGCCGGAGAGGACCTCAGGAGCGCTCAAGATCGCGTCAGAACGGCCCAAGACGCCGAAAGATGGCCCCGAGCGAGCCCCCAAGAAGGCCTCAAGATCGGGTGTTGCTCGAAGTGCCCCTGGCCGAGGGTGCCCCCAGGATTTCCAAGGAGGGCCCCGCGGCCTCCAGAGCACCCCTCACGAGGCCCAAGGGCCCCGGGAGCTCCAAGATTGAGCGAGAAGCTGGGGGGCACCTTGGGCCAGGGGTACCTTCAGCAAGCCCCGACAAGAGGCAACAAAAACGGATCGTCCATCAGGTCTTGAATCATCTTCGCGTTCTCGCCTCTGCGGGCGTATGCATGCCCGGAACGGAGCGAGGGGCCCCCAGACTGGTCGGACGCCCTCCACACGCACACACACACACACACACACACACCTCCACACACACACACACACACACACAAACACACACACACACACACACACACACACACACACACACACACACACACACACACACACACGCACAAGATGGCACCCCCAAGACCCCCAGCATGCCCCTAAGAGGCCCCCAAGGAGACCCCCCAAGGGCCCCCAAAAGCTCCTGGGAGCCTCGAGAGCTCCCAGAGGCCGCCCCCTAGGCCTCCAAGAGACCCCCAAGAAGCCCCGCAACAGACGCGGAGGAAGAGGAGGGCGAAGGCAGCACGACGGGAAGCGTCGAAGAGCACACGCGAAATCCACAGCCGCACGCCTCCTCTTACGGGGGACGGCGGAATGGCGTGAGCCTCTCGCGTATCGGAAGTCCTGCGCGCTTGGAACAATATGCCAGAGAAAAGGCGCCCCGCTCCCAGTCTCCAGGAACGGATGGTAGTAGTCAAATTGAGTAATTGTCGAGGGATGGGGAGGGGGACCAGAGGGAGGAGGGGGTGGGAGAAGGACGGGGGGAGGGGACAGTCAGGGTGAGGAGGAGAGGAGGGCAGGGGCGAGAGGGGGAGGGGAGGGACGGGGAAGGGAGGAGGGGGGGAGAGGAAGGAGAGCGGGAGGGAAGGGGGGGGGGGCAAGGGAGGGAGGGGCAGAGTGGGAAGCGGAGGAGGAGGAGGAGGAGGAGGAGGAGAAGGAGGAGGAGAGGCAGCATCAGGTGGGTGGGAATGGAAGGTGCGAGGGAGGAGAAGGGCGCCGGAGGAGGCAGGGGGCAGGCAGCGAGGGAGCAGCGAAGGAGCGAGGAGGGCAGAGCTGATTCCCTCCGCACCGACTCAGCAGCGCTCGGCCGGGAGGGCACCTCGCTGGTACCACTGCCCTACACACTCTGCTTTGACGGATCTGCTGGCGGGAGCCCCCTACTCCCTTCTCCTCCTCCTCCTCCTCTCTCCTCCTCCTCCTCCTCCTCCTCCTCCTCCTCCTCCTCCTCCTTCCTCCTTCTCCTGCTCCTCCTCCTCCTTCTCCTTCCTCCTGCTCCTCCTCCTCTCCTGCTCCTCCTCCTCCTCCTCCTCCTCCTCCTCCTCCTCCTCCTCCTCCTCCTCCTCCTCCTCCTCCTTATCCTCCTCCTCACTGCCACCACCGTCTTCAACCTACTCATCAACAACGAAAAAATCCTCGTCTGAACAAGTCGCCAGAATGACAGTCATCATCAGCATCATCATCATCATCATCATCATCATCATCATCATCATCATCATCATCATCATCATCATCATCATCATCAGCAGAAGCAGCAGAAGCAGCAGCAGCAGCAGCAGCATCATCATCATCATCATCATCATCATCATCATCGTCATCGTCATCGTCATCGTCATCGTCATCATCAACAGCATCATCATCATCATCATCATCATCATCATCAGCATCATCATCATCAGCATCATCATCAGCATCATCATCACCACCACCACCAAGAACACCACCACCACCATCATCAACATCATCATAATCGACGTCATCATCATCATCAGCAGCATCATCACCGTCATCCTCATAATCATCATCGTCATAATCATCATCATCATCAGCAGCAGCGTCATCATCACCAACAGCATCATAATCAGCATCAGCATCGTCATCATCATCATCATCATCGTCATCATCATCAGCATCATCATGGTCATCATCATCAGCATCACCATCAGCATCATCGACATCATCATAATCAGCATCATCCTCATTACCATCATCATCGTCATCATCATCGTCATCATCGTCTTCATTTTCATCGTCATCATCATCAGCAGCATCATAATCAGACTCATCATCATTCCCACCACCGACACCACCACCACCACCATCAGAATCATCAGCATTATCATGAACATCAGCAGCATTATCAGCATCATCATCATTAACAAAAGTAGAAACAGCAGCAGCAGCAGCATTAGCATCATCATCTTCATCATCACCACCATCATCATCATCACCATTATCATAAGCAGCAACACCAGCAATAACAACGACGACAGGAGCGACAGCAACATCACGAGCATCCTTAGTATCATCAGCATCGTCATCAGCATCATCATCAGCAGCAGCATCATCATCAGCATCATCATCGTCGTCATCAGCGTCGTCGTCGCCGTCATCATCATCATCATCAGCATCATCATCATCACCAAGAGTCATCATCGGCATCATCATCAGCAGAATCGTCGTCAGCATCATTATCCGCAGCCTCATCGTCACCATGATGAGCAGCAGCATCATCATCAGCATCATCAGCAGCAGCATCATCATCCTCATCACCAGAATCGTCGTCAGCATCAGCATCCTAATCAAGAATATTCATCATCAGTTGCATCATCATCATCATCAGCATCATCATCGTCGTCCTCGTCCTCATCCTCATCCTCACCTTCAGCATCATTATCATACTCATCGTCCTCAGCATTCTCATCATCATCATTGTCATCATCGTCATCATCATCGTCCTCGTCCTCATCTTCATCCTCACCCTCGTCCTCATCATCCTCATCATCGTCATCGTCCTCATCATCCTCATCATCCTCATCATCCTCATCATCCCTACGCCTCTTCTTTCTCATCCGCCCCTCTCCTCCTCTACGAATAATACGTCACACTGGAAGAGGTTGGCTGGGGACCCGCTGCACCCGCTGCCCCCACGCGCGCCCAGCTCGACACCAAGAGGCCACGGATCCTTGATCAGGATCTCGACGTGATGTGTGGAATTCATGGGAACTGCGAGAAGCTGCGTGGAGATGTCGGTGAACTTCTCCAACGTCAGCTTGTTTAGCAGACTCTTGAGCGAGCGCTCCACCATCGTGGTCTCGTCCTCGCAGCACCCCTCTGTGAATCTCAGATCCCGATCGACCATGCATCAATTGCTGCACGCCCTCTTGCTTGAGGCCACGCGACACCAAGCACATAATCATGGTGCTGCAGCGCGCGTCTCAACGTGCAGAGGCGCCTGTCGACCTAGGCCGGGTGCAAGAGCAGTCAGAAAACCCGCCACAGGGGACCTCTCTGCCGCTGCACACCAACAGGCTAGCGTCCGCATCGGAACTGCAGCGCGCACACACTCACGTCGCGCGCACGCCCCATCACGCATCACATGTGCATAGACCGAAAGCGACTCCGCAAGTTCCTGGGGGGGGTGGGCGATCGGGCCCCATGACGGACAACGGCTATCAATGGGCGATCGCGGGTCGATCCCCCCCTGATCCTGCCCCCCCCCCCCTAGTGTGGCCCCTCTCACAGGCGCACATGAGAGCCCTCGATCCTCGAGCCTCCCAGCCCCGCTGGGGAGACCCAGCGCGCCACGAAGGGGGTCCTCCGCGACGGCGGCCGCGGCAGCGACGACGACGACGACGACGACACCGCCGACGACGACGACGACGACGACGACGACGACGACGACGACGACGACGACGGCCGTCGCCTTCGACTCCGCCGTCGGCCGCGACATTTCCCCCAGGGGCCCTAGCGAGGTCCCACGAGCGACCGAAAAACAGCCCTCCTCCTCGTCCTCGTCCTCCCTCCTCCTCATCCTCCTCCTCCTCCTCCTCCACCTCCTCCTCATCTTCTTCTGATTAGTATCATTGTTCTGGTTAGTACTACTGGTTTACTTATTACTATTGTGCTTATCCTTATCGTGAATAGGATGAGTACTATGGTTACTAGAATACGTAGTCTTAGCCTTATGCTCAAATATTAGTACTATTAATAGTACTTGTATCGGGCTTCTGATCAGTTTCATTATTATTAATACCAATCGTGTTATTACAAGTTACGATTACAATCGTGTTACTATAACATTACGACATGCTGACATTACGATACGAACATTACGACTACGAATCGTGTTATTATACTGACATTACGATTACGAATCGTGTTATTATAAGTTTGCATGCTGGGAGTAGTGGTACTAGTCGTGTCTTCTTGTCAATTGTAGCAGTAGTGTTATTACCACTACTACCACTACGATCATTATCATTAGCATCCGTGTTCGTAGTATCATTATTTTTGCTATGATTAATCATTTCTTACTACTATTATGTTTGTTATTTCTCCTCCTCCTCCTCCTCGCCCTCCCTCCTCCTCCTCCTCCTTCTTCTCCTCCTCCTCGTACTCCTGCTCCTCCTCCTCCTCCTCGTCATCGCCCTCCTCGGCAACAACACAGCCCGCCGTCGATTCTTCCCGACAAGAAGCATCGGGCGGGGGGGGGGGGGGCGCCACCGCGGCTTCGGCGACCATCGTCGATGGCCGCCGTCGGCGGGCGGCGAGTGAGCCGCCATCCACGCAGTCGCCGCTGGCCGCCGTCGGCGGCCAGCGGCCGCACTGCGGCCATCACCCGGTGGCGGGGAGAGCGCGGGGCGAGCGGCCGTCGGCTCCTCCTGGGCGCCCTCGGCCGCCTGGGCGCGGCGCGCCCGCGCCCGCGCCGCGAACGAGTTCTCCGAGACGGCGAGCGCCACCGGGGCGGGCTTCTCACGCCTGGCGGCGCGGCGGCGGCCGCGGCGGCCGACGCCGCTGTCGGCCGTCCTCGGCGTCGGTGCTGAGGTGCCGCCGACGAGGAGGGGCAGGAGGAGGGCTGAGGAAGGATGAGGAGGGAGCTTCCTCCGCCTCCTCCTCCTCCCCCTCCCCCTCCTGCTCCTCCTGCTCCTCCTCCCCTCTCTCCTCCTCCTCCTCCTCCTCCTCCTCCTCCTCCTCCTCCTCCTCCTCCTCCTCCTCCTCCTCCTCGACCCCAGACCGTCGACCCCCTCGCGCAGTCGCGCTGGAAAAAAACACGACGGGCTGGTTGTTCCTATGTTCGGCCTCCAGGGGCCCGTTCTGGGCCCCAGGACCGTGAAAACACAACTCTGGATGAAAGACCAGTCCCAGAGAATGGGTCCAGATCTCTGGGGTTCTACGTTGCGAAAAAGTCACGACGTCGGGTGTCTGAAGCGGAAGCCTAGCTGAGCGTTTGAGGCTCTGAGACGGACTCCCAAAGCGGACATCCAGACTCGAATCATTGATTCCCCGTTGGTTCTTGAAGGATGCCCATGTTCTCGCCGGTTCAGCCCCACGAGGGTTCCCAAAGACCCCCAAGACGTCCAGAAGGGAACCAAGTCGGCTTGAGATGGCCTCCAGACGGCCACGGACAGCCCACTAGGCAGGGCTCCGAGATCAGCCCCAAGACGCCCCCGTCTGCCTCTATCCCACCCTGTCCTGATCGTGCTCCTGCTCGCGCCCTCCCCCCCCCCGCATGCCCCCCCCCCTCCTCCCCCCCACCGCCCCCTCCCCTTCCAGAACGCGTTGGCATACAGTGGAAGACCTGCCACAAGAGACCTCCCCCAAGAAACCCGACCCTGAGACCCCAGGACGTCCACTGATCTTTGTTGTGGGAACGTCACGCTTTCCGTCGCAAGACCATCGAAACCCAAGAAACCCCGGGCACCCTGGAGGCAAGCGGGCTGCTTCTTGGCATGGGCCTCCACTGTAGGTGCGACGGGGGATCGGGTCGCGCGAAAGGGGGGGGAGATAGCAAAGGGGCGGTTGGCGAATCAGCTCGCTGTAGCTGCTTTCCCCGGCGCCTCCCGGCACTGGAGGCGCACAGGTATCGAGGAATGGGCCCGGCGGCGGGGTCGAAACCAACTGCATCTAGCATACAGTCGAGCTTGATTGGAGAGGATATGCGAGAGGACACCAGACCCTTCCGAGGGCTCCTTGCCACAGGAATGCAGAAGGCATGGGTCGCGAAGCACAGGGCACAAGGGTACCCTTGACTTGGCAGGGTCGACCTACTAACCAAACTCCACTGTACATTCGGAGCGTTGACCTAAGGAACCCTAAATAAGGAACGAGGCCCCTTTTTTCCATAAGTGTAACTTCGATTTCCCGCGGAAAACCTAAGGAAAACCCAAGGCAAACTATCAAACAATCAAAGAACACCGAGCCCCTCCCCAACAAAAAGGGTTCCTTCTTCAGCGCCCCGACTGTATTTCGCCAGCCCCCCTTTCCCTGTCCCCCCCCCCTTCGCTCGGCCACAGAGGAGCTGGAGGGCAAGGCCGCGGGCGCGGCCCCCGGAAAAAGCGGCGGAGCGGGAGGCTCGTGCGGGCAGTCGCGCCCCCTCCTCCTCCTCCTCCTCCCCCTCCTCCTTCCTCCTCCTCCTCCTCCTCCCTCCTCCGCGGTGGAGCGGGCGGGGCCTTCGGAGACGCGGCCTGACTGGGGAGCGAAAAATTAGCCTGGCGATGGACCCAACCACATGCAGTTGTGAATACCGCAATGCTGAATACCTTCTTCGGTGGTGCTCCTCATGGGACCACGAAACGTGCGAGGGGTGTGCCGAAATGGGTGTGGCGGACGCATGCGGACGGTGGCACCGGGGCCTTCGGTGGGGCTCCCTATGGGGCCACGCAACGTGTGAGGGGGGGTACCGAAATGGGTGTGGGGGACGCATGCGGGCGGTGGCACTGGGGCCTTCGGTGGAGCTCCCTATCGGGCCACGACACAAGTGAGGAGGTCGCCGAAACAGACACATGCGGAGGGCATAGGCAAAAACAGAGACATGCGGAGGGCATAGGCAAGGAGGGGGAGGAGGGGGAGGAGGAGAGGAGGAAGGAGAGACGCGGGGACCGTCTCTTCAAAACGAGGACCCAACACCACAGGATGGTTGGGAAAGAAGGTCCAAGCCATAAACGGCTGGAGGTCCGCGCGGATGCCTTGGATCCGCGCCGGGCCTCCCTCCCTGGCGCGCGGAGCGCGCCATGGGCGGCGCAGGAGGCGCCGCCAGGGGGAGCCCAGCGCCGATCCAAGAGATCTGCGATGAGCTCCGAAAATTGCTGTTCAGGCCGTTGTTTCTTCTTCGACTGGAGGAGGGAGGAGGAGAGAGGAGGAGGAGGAGGGAGAGGAGGAGGAGGGAAAGGAGGAGGAGGAGGAGGAGGAGGAGGAGGAGGAGGAGGAGGGAGGGAGGAGGGGGAGGAGGAGGAGGAGGAGGAGGAGGAGGAGGAGGAGGAGGAGGAGGAGGAGCAGGAGGCAGCCCGCTCAGGACGCAGGCATCCCACGGGGGAGAAAGAATGCGCGTGCGCTGCCATCGCCGGGCCTCCACGGGCCCGGGCCCCAGGCCACAAGCTCGGGGGCCCCAAAACGGTGCGGTGGCGGACCGCGCGGTCCTCCCCAGTGACCTCACCGCCCGTGGCGTCACCGCACGGCTCTGGGACCGAGGAGGCCCCAGTGGCCCGAGGCATCCTCGGAGGACGACCCGGGTCCCGAGGCCGTGCGGTCAACCCCAAAATCCCTTCTGACTGACCTCGCGGTCTGGTCACCGCTCCGTTCGAGGACCCTCGACGAGTCTTCGTGGGCATGGCCCCAAAGGACCTGGCCGGGAGTTGGCATCCATCCACCCAGGTCTGTGCCCACGCTGGTCCTGGGAGGCGTGGCTGTGGCGGATGCTTTTCCTCTCCTGGCCCAGGGCTGTGCAAGCGAGGGAGGGGCCCACGCAAGCTGCCCACGCACACCGCAAGGTGGGCGAGTCCTTCGAGAAACCTGAACAGAACAACATGACCAGCGTCACACTGGCTAGCCTCACGAAGAAGCTGCAGCCACAGCACTGGTCAAGAGGCACGGTGGGTGTCTCGCAAGTACCGGTTGTGCAAGCCACCCAAAGGTGTCGCCTGATGTTACACCGATCGTCCGCTCGCTCGGTGCACGTCCTTCTCGCTCGCCGCGTTGGGCTGCGCCGAGTCCTACCACAACCCTGCCATACCGTGGAGGCACTGCCAAGATAAAGAGAGCGTTACAACCAGCAGCATGAGAACAAGAAGATTGGATGGATGATGGGATGGAGCAGGACAACTACGAGTTGAGCAGAGCTAAAACTTTGGGACCCTGTCAACAGCAGACTCAAGCCCTCTGCAAGCGTTGATTCCCGCCGGGCCGCAAGACACTCAAAAACATGATCTGCGTGACCTTCATCTGCATGCTGCTGGTCAGGAGGAATCATATAATAACGCGGCGTGGAGGCGCGCAGAGTTCTCGACTTCAGCTGTCTTCTTGCGAGGACGGAAGCGCAGCGGCCTACTATGGAACGAAACTGCGTAGCAGTCTCCAGATATGGATACAAGACAAAGCTGAAAGCGACACTCATTTCAAACTCGGCGGCCAGCCGAATCTGGAGAAATCCAGAAAGGCCCTGGGAGGGGCCAAGGTAGGCCCCACAAGGCCAAAAAACAGGCCCTGGGGACAACCGCGCTGACGAATCGAACGCCCAGGCTGGAAATCAAACGCATTCTAACTTCGACTGCAGAGAGGAAGAGGAGAAGGAGGAGGAGGAGGAGGAGGAGGAGGAGGAGGAGGAGGAGGGAGGGGCGGAGGCGCCTGTCGCGGCCATCCTCCGCGGCATCCTTCTCTTTGTCCTTATCGCGTGGGCCCAGGAAGGCGCACGATCCCCGGGCCAGAGAACCATCCAACGTCAGCCAGAACCATCTGATTGTGACTGTTTTCTCCCTGGGGGGGGCCCTTACCAAACGTTCCCTCTGGAGCCCAGTCGGCGTCTCGGCCCGTCTGGCGCGCGAATGGGCAGCCGAATGGGCTCGGTTGCAGGAAGTCGGTGGAAGTTGTGCCAGCTCGGCGGCCGAATGGGCTCGATCTGAGTCCCCCTGGCGGCCGGACACAGTCAACCAGTATAGTAAGGATGCGCGATAAGGATGCAAGGGCCTTGGACGCCCATGTCGAAGCTTTTCGAGCGGGGCGCGGCCAGCGAAAGCGGCGAAGGATGGACCGAGGAGGCAAGGATGCAGGGGCACCCTTTGGGAAGGTTGCCCATCCGTGCTGTGCGGGTTGACTGTGTGGGCTCCGAGGCCGACTGGGCGCAAAGGGAAAAGTTAAGGCGTTGTGAACAGGTCCGCCGACCCTCGCTGGCCAGGGGCGCAAAAGGCGTGCGAGACAAGTGGCCGCCCCCCTGCACATTGCTCGCTGGGACTTGTGAAGGGGCCCGAGGACACACAAATAATAAATACACACAAATCACAGGATTCCCCATACCTTCCCATATTTTCCGGGTTTTCGTCTTCCCCCCCCCACTTTCCATATTTTCCCATATGTTCCTGGGAGTCGACGATTCATTGTGTCTGTGTGCTTTTCCCCTCCTGAACTTTTTGCTCGCTGGGACTTGGAAACCCTCAGCGACGATCCTGGTGCCCCCGAGACAGCCCAGGACAGGCCGAGGTGGGCTGCACGCTGCCCCCCTGCGTGGCTCCGAGACCCCGAGGCTCCAAGATTAACCAGCCTCGAACGTATCCCTGTCCCTAAGATTGACACGCCAACAGGCGATGACAATCTTATGGATTCGCCCTCAAAAAATAAGGGAACCCCTAAGATTGACATCGTGATGAGGAGGTGCCCAGCATAGGGATAGGGATATGTTCCAGGCTGGTAAAAGATAGCCCCACCGAGGGCCCCTCAAAGGCACAACCTGCAAGCCGATGCTGTTGCTGCCTACGGCGGAGGCCAGTCCACAAGAAACCGCCCACGAGAGACCCAACCCTGAGACCTCAGGACGTCCAGTGGTGTTTGGTGCGGGGCCGTCACGCTCTCCATCGGAAAACAATCGAAACCCAAGAGACCCAGGGCACCCTGGAGGCAAGCAGGGTGTTTCTTGGCATGGGTCTCCACTGTACGTGTTGCACTCAACATTTTGAGGCTCAGGGTGGCCACACGAGGCCGCCGGGAGGATCCTCGCGGCCGCCACGAGGCCATCATACGGCCCAGGACCTCCCCGAGACATCACCCCAGAGGCCTCAAGGTGGCCTTCAAAATGGTTCTGAGCAGGCCCAAGACCGCTCCGAGACGGCCTGTCGACGTCCACAGACAGATACGTAAGGCGCGCCAGGCAGCATTGGAAATTTCCCAAATAAGCCCCCACGGGTTCCAAGACGACCCCCTCCCCGCCACACCCCCCACACCCCTCCACACACACACACACACACACACACATCCACACATCCACACATCCACACATCCACACACACACACGCACACACACACACACACACACACACACACACACACCCAAACACACCCAAACACACACACACACACACACACACACACGCACGCACGCACGCACGCACGCACGCACGCACGCACGCACGCACAAACAAACAAACACACACACACACACACACACACACACACACACACACACACACACACCACAGACAACAAACAACAAAAACTGCCCCATCCTCCTTCCCTTCCCCCTCCCCCTCCCCCTCCCCCTGCTCCTCCTCCTCCTCCTCCTCCTCCAGCACTCTGGGTCTAGGTCGTTTGAGGGGCCCTCGCTTCCGACCCATGTTCTTCCCCTTGGAGGAGGACTTTACCCCCTCCCCCTACCCCCGCCCATGGAGTCAGGACGCCCCCTCTCACCCGCGCTGTGTCAGAGAGGCCGCGCTGGCATTATATCACTCCAACAGGGCGCCTGATAGCCCGATACTGCCAACAGAATGGCGTAGCCCAGTCCAAGATAGCGCAAGATGGCCGTCAGCATTCCTCCAAGAGGCCACGAGACCGCCCAACGGCAGCCACAAGTGGACACTGAACCTCCCAAGAAACCCCCCGAGACGCGACAAAGTCCCAGGGAACCTATGCGGGGTTACAATGCCTTTGGCCTTCGCGCCATTGTGTTTCTGCTTGGCTTATGGGGCGTTAAAATGGCTCTAGGATCGCCCTGGTGAACCGCAGGAGAGGCCCAGAAGAGCGCAAAGACGGCCCTAAAGGCCCCCCAAGAGCGCCCTATGTGCGTGCCCAGAGGGCAGTGAGAGGCAATGTGTCCGGCTCCAAGAGGGAAGCTCCTGCAAAATCAACGAGGCGTTTGAATGATTTTGGTGACTCGGGTGTCTCCGTGGGAGGCGTCTGGGCCAAAATGGCTCCAAGATGGTTCCAGATGCCATAGGATGGCTTCCAAGACGACGCAAAATGGTCCAGGTTGGCCCGAGATGGCATCCAACATGCATCCAAGAGGCCGCAAGACCGCCCCGGGATGGCTCCGAATGGACTAGGAGCCAAGGATGTCCCCAGAGACAGACATCATCTGAAAAACAAGGTTTGTCAGTGAGTTGTGCAGTTTCATAGGGGGCGAAGAACGGTATAAAATAAACTCTTGCGCCGTCAATGACGCGCGCCCCCCCCCGGGGGCTGGAAAAGTTCTACCCCTACGGTGCCACGTAAGGGCATAAACGTTCCAGACGCCCAGAGGGGGCAGGCGTCCCCGACGGCGGAAACAACATGCCCTATGTTATACCGTTCTTCGCCCCCCGCGTCTAACTCTTCCGCTTCCGAAGGGCTTCTGAGGCATCAAGAAAGCTCCACGATCGGCCAAGAGCGACACGAGGAGAGCCCAGGCAGTGCCCGACACGGCCGCCAAGGCATCCAAGAGCGCCCCAAGCGCGCGGCGAGAGGGCCCAGAGAGGCGGTGCTTCGGGCCCCGAGGGGGGCGAGGCTCGTCAGTGCCGCCTCCCTTCTGCATGTATGATCCAGGGTCGAGGGCCCACGGCCCCCCCCCCCCCAGATGGTATGGTCCAGATGATGGTCCCAGGATCCGGGCCCCCCCCCCAGATCCCAGACGACGACGACGACGACGACGACGACGACGACGACGACGACGACGACGACGACGACGACGACGACGACGACGACGACGACGACGACGACGGCTGCGACGACGGCGACGACGGCGACGACGGCGACGAACGACGACGACGACGACGACCACGACGACGACAACGACGGCTGCGGCGGCGACGACGCCGGCGGCGGCGGCGACGACGACGATGACGACGATGACGACGGCGACGACGACGATGACGACGACGACGACGACGATGACGACGACGACGATGACGACGACGACGACGACGAGGACGACGAGGACGACGAGGATGACGAGGACGACGAGGACGACGACGACGACGACGACGACGACGACCTCTGAACCACCACAGCACCACACCACATCCACAAGGGGGGGGAGGGGGGCACCGCAGTGCAACACCACGCCACGCCCACCTCTGAACCACCACAGCACCACACCACATCCACAGGGGGGGGGGGGAACCGCAGCGCAGCACCACGCCACGCCCACAGGGGGGGGCGGGGGGGACCATCGCGCGGGGGGGGGGGCCCAATGGCATCAGCATTGGGGGGGTGGGGGGGGCCCAAACCCTGGACCATGTACATACAGTCGGGCCTAGGCCAGAAGAATATCCTTCCCATGAGGCCCCGAAGAGGCTCCCAAGAGGCCATAGAGCTGGTCCCAAGAGGCCCCCTAGAGCGCCCCGAAGAGACCCAGAGAAGCATCCCTGAGAACTCTGACCCAACCCAGGCACCGTGGCGCGATGGGCCGAGGGCCATTACTTACATATCTCTGTGTATATACAGGTAAATACGCATATATACATATATACACATACACACATGTTTCTATATATATACATATATATATATGCGCATACATACATACATATATACATACATACATACATACATACATACATACATACATACATACATACATACATACATACATACATACATACATACATACATACATACATACATACATACATACATACATACATATAAATATATAAATATAAATATAAATATATATCAGCCACCGTGCCCACGTGCCCTTGAAGCACAAGCTGGAGTGTCTTCAGGCTCTTAGCTTTGACCCTTAAGCCTCAGCCCTCAGTCCTGAGGATCTGTAAGGGCCCAAGACCCAAAAATGCCAAATCTTCTGGGGCGCGTCGCATCTTCCCGCATGACTTCTCCGGGCCCAAGAGGGCACCCAGACGGGCGCAAAGGCCCCGAAAGACCGTCTAGACGGTCCACGGGGGCCACGAATCGCCGCACGATCCGTCCAAGACGCCCAAGATGGCCCCAAGACGGCCCATGAGCCTTCGAGGCGCCCCAAGGGAGCCCCAAGAGCCTCCCCAAGAGGGTCCCGAGAGGCCAAAATCATTGAGTTCCCCGTGGTGTTTCAATGATTTATGGGTCCTCGACGTTTCAAGCTTCCGACCTCAAGACCGCCCCCAGACGACCGAAAATGCCCCCAAGAGGCGCCAAGACAGCCCAAGAGAGCTCCAAGACGGCTTCAGAGGCGCCCAAGACGGCCCATGAGGGCCGAAAGACAGCCCAAGAAGGGCACAAGAGGGGACCACGAACGGAAAATCCAAGTCTCCCGCCCCAAGAGAGCTCCAGAAGACCCCAGGGAGACCCCAAGAGGCCCCCAAGACGCCCCAAGAGGGCTCCAAGAGGCCTCCCAAGAGGGCCCGCAGATGCTCAAATCAGTTGTTCGCTTGGTGTTTGGAAGATCCTGGCGTTCTTGTCGGTTCTGCCCTTCGACGCCCAAACA